TTGAAATGCCGATTTTGTGAAACCACGGGACTGCTATCGAGTAGGTGTGAAAAGAGGCATACAAATGGATAACCAAGCAACCTGGGTTATTTCTAGTGACTAACAAAATGACTCGGGATCAAAACGTCAAACGAAATTAACTGCAAGAGTTTCGAAAGCTACGGAATAGAAACGGCTCGTAAATTAGTCGGTCTATATCCATGGTACTATCTTCCCGTGTCTATGCATAAAGTGCTCATACACGGGGCGAAAGTGATTTCTTCGTTTCTAATACCCATTGGGCAACTGTCTGAAGAGGCCCAGGAAAGCAGAAACAACGATACCAAGCAATACAGAATCTACCACACGAGAAAGTTTTACAGAGAAGTTACGAATACAGATCTTCTTCACCGTCTTCTGGAATCCTCCGATCCATTCATTTCCAACATGAAGGAACTACCGAAAAACACAAGTGACGTGTGCTCCGGGGATGCTTTGCAACTTTTAATCATCAAAGATGACAACGGCGAGAACAGGAAACTGCAAGCGCTCTTTGATATTCGTACAATTTGAATCGGAACGTAATGAACATTAAACATGAATGATTTTGGTATTGTTTATTGACAAAATCATAAAATATTTAAAGTACATAAGCGATTCAGTCAAGGGTCGTTTGGGGGTGGTCTGGTTTTGATCCCGAGTCATTTTGTTAGTCATTAGAAATAACCCAGGCTTGGTTATCCATTTGTATGCTTCTTTTCACACCTAAACGGCGAACACGAAATTATTACGACACATTCAACAGGGCATAACTTTTTTACCATTGGGTAAAAATCAACCAAATTTTGCATACTTTCTCATTGATGTGTATTGTGTACATGCTGTCAAACTCGAAGTCGTGTTTTTCGATTCAACGAAAATGGAGGTGAACCAACGCGAGTTGAGAGAACAAATTCTTTCCAAACACCTGGAACAGAGCTGGACTACATACATACAAGGTACAGAACTTCCCAAACCGCTATGAGCGGCAACAATCGACGGCTAAAACTCGGGCACGGAAGCTCTACGAGAAGATGCTGACAAAATATGGCTGCTGTGTGATGGACGACGAAACGTATATAAAAGCCGATTTTAAGCAAATTCCGGGGTTGGAGTTTTTCACCGGCAAGAGCAAGTTCGATGTGGACGACAAATTTAAGAAGAAGAAAATGTCGAAGTTCGCCTCCAAATATCTCATTTGGCTGGCCATCTGCTCTTGCGGACTGAGGAGTGAGCCTTTCGTGACAAGGGGCACAGTAAATGGCGAGATCTACAAATCTGAGTGCCTCGAGAAGCGCCTTTTGCCGCTCTTGCAGCAGCACGACGAAGCTCCGCTATTTTGGCCAGATTTGGCATCATGCCACTATTCTAAAAGTGTCCTGGAGTGGTATGAGGCCAATTCTGTCCATTTTGTTCCAAAGGACATGCATCCGCCAAACTGTCCGGAGCTGCGCCCGGTGGAGCAGTACTGGGCAATAATGAAGCGGGAACTTCCGAAGAGCAAGAAGACAGTCAAAGACGAGAAGGACATGTTAAGAAAATGTAAAAAAAACTGAGAAACTGGTACCGGATGACACTGTAAAGACTTTGATAGAGGGCATCAAGCGAAAATGCGTTCAATTTTACACTCAAGGCTCCATCGATTAACTTTTCTTTTGATTTTTGAAGTAAATATATGTATAAAACTACCCTAAAATTTTGGTTTGATTCTAAACATTATAAGAAAATTGGCATGACATTTTCGGTGTCGCAATAATTTCGTGTTCGCCCATTACTTTAGCAGTCCCGTGGTTTCACAAAATCGTCATTTCAAATTCTGAAAAGTGACAAGTTTTAATGCAAGTATTTTGGTTAAGGGTCAAGTGGGGGCGGTCTGGTTTCTTCACCATTTTATTGAATTTTCTTGTGCTTTCAATTACTCAAAGAATGGCCTGCTCGTTTTTGCCCGTTTTTGCCCGTTTAGGAGCTATTGGTATTGGAAGTTGGGTAATTTTCAACCAAAAAATGTAAATAACTTTTCAAATATTGATGATAACAATTTGCAGTCTTCTTAAAAGATATGTAATTTAATATTTCTAACATCTTTGTAGAACATGCCAGACACGTAAAAATTTTATAGAAAAAGTTACAGATACAAAACTGATTTTAACGATGTCTCCGCAAAAAAAAACCTTTTTATCTCAGCAGTTATAAGAGCTAGAAAGTTATAGTCTTGAGCAAAATTGTTCACAATAATGTTCTCTACAGTTTTGCCTAACACAATTATTATGTATCTTATTATATTGAAAAAATAAATTTTGCATCTCACTTTTAGGTGGATTAATCTTTAATTTTCTTTTACCATAAGAAGGAGTGTTGTAACCCAAGAAACTTTTCACAAGACACCTAGTAGCTTTAATCATCCTAGCAGCACACTTGTCACTGAACAATTGTGGTTACTTTTGTGCAACTTATTCCAGTCACATTCAAGTTGCAGTAACATATTTCGATGGAAGTGTGTTGCTTGGGCAACAATTTCAGCGTAAATAAAAAAGCGCGTGTTTTGATACCCTTGGAACCACTGTGCGATGGCGTGGCTGCTTAAGCATTTCTGCAAAAGACCGCCTGGAACGTTCCTTAAGGGAGCGTTTCATTTTGTCCCCGTGCTGTTTGTACGCCGGGCACAACGAGAGAGCATGAGGAGGAATTCCGTTGAAGTACACGCATTTTGGTGCAGTAGCTGCGCATGTATTTAGAAACCAAACCATACGCAACTCGACGAAAAGTGTGTTTGACTGTATTGAATTTTTCGTCTCTTTCAAGTGATCCTTAAGCAAACCCCACACGTATCAATATATTGAAGCGAAGGGGAATTATTGACAATAATATGATTCAAATGATCGGTCATCCATGATCATGTATCATAATGATTATGTTAGCAAGTGGATATCTAATTCACAATTCTGTCTGGTATTGGGTGCATTCACACGCTACGAAAAAGTCATGTGAATGTCGGTACCCTGAGACCGACACATGCAAGCTACCCCTATGACATAAGTGGACCCTACACGATTGCTTATATTGACAATAATCGCGTTGCCAATACATTCTATATTGACGTAAATTCTTCATTACACGACGTGTAAATATTTACATGATTGACAAATCCCTCATGCTTCTCCCCGCATGTGGAGCAGCGAGCCTTGTTGCCGCAGTGGGAGGCCGTATGTCCCAACCGCTTACAATTCTGAAAGGTTCCATTTACTTGTGTGCAATTCTTATGGAATTTTCCACTCGCTTTCTATCCAAAAGTATGTTAGTTGTACCCAAAAGTAGGTAAATATGATTATACTCAACATTGGGTTCCCACAACTCCTGTTGTACTGTTTTGCTCCTCCGTTTTTGACAACATTAGAATTATTATTATTTATCTTTATTAGGGAGGCTTTCAGCCTTGGGCTGGTTCGCCTCCAAACATTAGAATGAGAAAAGGAGACAAACAAGTAAAAGGGTTTTCTTCGGCAATACCTTAACCTATTATCGTCAGGGGGGTAAACAAAGCCCTAGAGCACTAAAATTTGGCCAATAGATGCTTTGAAACACAATGTATCAACATGCCAAAATTGAGCTCTCAAGGACGTTGTTTACCCCCCTGACGATAATAGGTTAAGGTATTGCCGAAGCCAACATTTCCCCTACATAGGTAAAAGTGTGCACTTTTTTCCAACCGTAGGGTGTGAACTCTTTATCCAATTTAAACAAATTGTGGACGTCTAGGGGGTCTGAAATCTCTCCAAAACGTCTACATAGTTTATAAACAGCCCTATGCTGGAAAATGAACGGGCTAGGTAAATCATGGAAACTAAACAAACATGTCTTGTGGGCGTCTTAGTCTGTCTGTATTACCTGTATAAAGAGAGATAAGGATTAGTAATTTCCATTTAATTTCACTACCTTATTTGCTTATCATTCGAAGATACGCGTATTACGTCTACAATGTGCAAACTTCTTCAGTGTCTTGTACTAATGCTCGACTAGTATTAGTACAAGACACTGAAGAAGTCTACACATTGCGGACGAAATACATGCATCTTTCAAGGATAAGCAAATAAAGAATTGAATGGAAATTACTAATCCTTCTCTCTCTTTATATTTCACGTAAAATTAAGTATTTAGAAACCAAACCATACGCAACTCGACGAAAAGTGTGTTTGACTGTATTGAATTTTTCGTCTCTTTCAAGTGATCCTTAAGCAAACCCCACACGTATCAATATATTGAAGCGAAGGGGAATTATTGACAATAATATTGATGGTGTGAATACAGAAATATTGTCAATATCGATATATTGACGTCAATATAGAATGTATTGACAATACGAATATTGCCAATAAAAGCAATCGTGTAGGGTCCACTTTATAGCGAACAGTACACGTATCAATATGTTGATGTTGATGATGTGAACACAGAAATATTGTCAATACCGATGTATTCTTCACTGCACACAGCGTAAATATTTACGATTTTTTTTTAACAAAGCTCCGATAATCATGACAGATCCTGACGCAGTAGGTCTATTTTTCTCATGCGCGTTGTTTTCAAAGATCAAAATGACATTATTACCTGAGATTTGTCAATCATGTAAATATTTACACGTCGTGTAATGAAGAATTTACGTCAATATAGAATGTATTGGCAACGCGATTATTGTCAATATAAGCAATCGTGTAGGGTCCACTTATGTCATAGGGGTAGCTTGCATGTGTCGGTCTCAGGGTACCGACATTCACATGACTTTTTCGTAGCGTGTGAATGCACCCAATACCAGACAGAATTGTGAATTAGATATCCACTTGCTAACATAATCATTATGATACATGATCATGGATGACCGATCATTTGAATCATATTTTGCCATAATAATAAACTTTTAAAAGTGCGCCCAACACCCACGAATCCTTCATCAAATTTTGTACCTAATTAGCTATCTAAATTATACTCACTCTTGTCTCAGTTCTTCCAACCACCTCGCGTAATTTTCCTTATCAAAAGTTTCATTTCCACCACGCTGGGCAGGATACTCCCAATCAAGATCCACACCGTCAAAATTGTGCCTTCTGCAAAACTCCACGCTGTTTGTGATGAAACGTTGTCTCAATTCTGGATTCGCGGCAACGTTGGAAAATTTGATCGAACCCTCATTCCAACCTCCTACTGCTGCTATGGTTTTCAAGCCTGGATTGATGGACTTAAGTCCGTTGAATCGTTTGATATGTCCTCGACCCCAATTTTCCTCAAGGTCCAGATAGGGATCGATTATTCTAATCGAGCCATCTTCGTTGATTCCAAAGAATGAGTAGATCAAATGTGTACAGAGAAACGGATCAATGTGGTCAATGTCGAAGCGGCCTCGGCCTGGTCTGTAAACTGCCCATGTGCCGACGTAGCAAACAATTTTCTCTAAAAGTATTCATGAATCAACTATCCATTTTAGCACTTGCACTAGAAGATTCTTACTCTCAGCATAGACGTTCGTTATGATGAAAACAAGCGATGTCAGTATCAATTGAGCGATAAAAGAGTTCATATCGACTTCTTTAAAATATCACAGACGTTACACAAAATCACTCCTATCACTTCTATCCAATCGTGAACGGCACTGCGCTCAATGCACTCACCTGGACATGCTTTTATAGGAATTGTATCATCAGATAGAAGAGGATCTTGAACTCAAAATCCTGAAACGATACCGTTGAAAGAGTGTTTGGTTCAACAAATAGATGACTATCAGTACTCAAGGAAGGGGAATTATGCTGCATTAAAAATTAGCTCACCGCTATTGCAACAAATTGATTGGAATCAATCAAGCTGAGCGTACTTTCTTAATGAATAATTAAGTAAGTATCTACTCGTCCTTATCAGTGAGCGTATGACTTGGTAGCGTAACTGGTACAGTCATCGTAGTATCATAGGCCACTTAGGCATAATCACGTTGCAAATCTATCTTCTATCTATATATATAAAAGCGAATTTCTGCCTGTCTGTCTGTCTGACTCGGAAACTACTGAAGCGATCAGCGTGAAAATTTGTATGCAGCGGTTTTTGGGGTAGGGAAAGGTTCTTATGGTGGTTTGAGACCCCTCCTCCCTCTTTAAGGGAACCAAATTTGGCATGTCATAGGAGGTAGCCTCTTAGATAAAAGTTGGGGGTCTACGTAATACAGCATGCTTTTTTAAATTGGCGCATAAACTCAAGCTAATATTGAATCCCTCGCAAGGCCGGGCACACTCAGCTAGTAAATTGATAAATGCGGAGGAATAGGTGCTCAACTCTCTGTATTTTATTTAATCAATGGAAAAAAATATCTGATTTGATAAAATGTATTTTTTTGCGAAAAAATAGTGAATTTTATTGAAAATAAAAAAATGCAAGCATTTTCAATTTCCAATATTATGGACCACTTTTGAGCCAGCTCAGTATTATGGGTCAATGTTTCCAGTATTATGGGTCAGTTAAATTAAAATTCATTGTTTTTTTTTTAATTTATTAATGTTTACACAGTATGCAGTGCTGCAAAATATCGACCATACACGGCGATATTGACAAAACAGCATTGATCGCTCATTCGAACTGAAAGTCACATATAAACGAAACCATGCCAATTTTCGTTGACAATCCTGTCAGTGACAAACATGTGCAATTTTTGTTATTATTTAAATCTGAACCGACATTAAATGAATTCAGTCACGGAGCAGCAAAGCCTTGAAGCTAATGTTCTTGGCTGCGCAAAACTCCTCCGTCGTCCCCTACACGTAATTCCCTTTTCGAAAATACCCACATTTTAGAGTATTTGACGGTTTTTCTCGAACCGATTGTTGCCATATTGGATTCCAAAATGGCGTCTGGCATCGATTTACAGTCTCTACACGTCATCCCCTTTCCAGAAATACCCATATTGTAGAGTATTTGGCAGTTTTTTTTTTTGAACTGGTGGTTGACATCTTGGATTCCAAAATGCCGTCTGGCATTGATTTCTGGTCTTTACACGTCATCCCCTTTCCGAAAATATCCATAATGTAGAGTATTTTACAGTTTTTCTTGAATCGATGACCACCATCCCCTTTCCGAAAATACCCATATTGTATGGTATTTGTCAGTTTTTGTTAAACCGATGGCCTCCATCTTGGATTTCAAAATGGCATCCGGCATCGATTTCCGCCCTCTACACGTCGTCCCCTTTCCGGAAATGCCCATATTGTATGGTATTTGACAGTTTTTCTTGAACCGATGGCCTCTCCCAAGTAACATTGCAAGTTTTATCGAGGGTTTAAAGCATTCTTCAAGTCTAAATCATAATCTACAAGACCATGATAAAACTGAAATAGTTACTTGGGCTATCTAAAATGTAGCCTGGAGTCGATTTCCAGCCTCTACACGTCGTACCCTTTCCGGAAATACTCTACACGTCATCCTCTTTCCGGAAATATCCATATTGTAGGGTATTTGCCAGTTTTTCTTGAACCGATGGCCACCATCTTGGATTTTAAAATGGCGTCCGAAATCGAGTTACAGCCTCTCTACCCTCATCCCTATTCCGTTTTGTGTTCTCATATTGCACAGCAACATCTTATATGGACAAGCTTTCCAGAAATAACATATTAAGGACGTTCATGTGCAGACTAGCGCCGCGTAGTGAGTGAGTTCTTAAATAATATGACCACCATCCGAAATAACTTGGTCACCTGAACAACTTTTCTGAAGACAGCAACGTTCTATATGGCCAGGTTCTCGAGATAAAGTTTATATAGGAAGTTCACATGCACACTAGCGCTGCTTAGTGAGTCAGTTCTGAACTAATATGCCCACCATCCGAAAGGACTTGGTCGCCTGAACAACTTTGCTCAAGACAGTAACCTTCTATATGGCCAAGATTTTGAGATACAGCTTATATAGGAAGCTCATGTGCACACTAGTGCTGCTTAGCGAGAGAGTTCTGAACTAATATGGCCACCATCCAAAAGGACTTGGTCACTTGAACACCTTTGCTGAAGGCAGCAATTTTCTATATGGCCAGGATCACGAAATATTATATGTTGGACCTAAGATCCATATATTACAGCACCCGTCATAAGTAACATAAAAGTGAAGCGTCCCTAGCGGCGTAATTCCCAATTATCTAATCTAATCTAATCTAATCAACACCAACACAGCCAGTTCTTGAAAGCATCCTGGAAAATGATATATATGCCTACATCATTTTTCTTGTCTATTTGATATATGTTTCACATCGAAGATGCGTCACACATATCAAAACGGCCAGGCCTACTGTGCAGCATTTAAGGGGCAAGATGATTCATAAAACATCGGGCCTGTTTGAATCGAAGATTTAAACACGATGCCTCAGAATCCAATAAATGGATGAAACGTGGACATCTCGTACCGTACGTTCCGATTTTGGAAATTATATGATTGGTTGGTCGTTGGAAGCATCACAGCTAGAAAGGTTAAGTGATGCTCCATTTTCTTCTGACGGTTGGGGCATTAGCACTAACTATTGTCTATGACTTATGGCTATAGCACCATTACTCGCTTTCTGAAAAGATAATATGGAAAGGAAAAGGAGAAGGACAAAGGGAAAAGGATTATGTGAAATCTATGAACATAAACAATATTTTTGATTTGAAATATACAATATAGAAATGCATAACGGCGCGGTGGTCACAACCCGAGTCTTTCCACTATTATCAAGTCATAAAAAGTAACAAGGACTTAAATGTGATCCTTTGATTACTGGAAAATCCCGATGCTTGGGAACAGAACACCGAGACCCTCAATCACAACGACCAATTCTCCGTTTCACCTAGCTCAGCTGCGCCCACTACTGGTTCCAGTCCTGGTCAGTTCACACGCCCCCACCATCTAAGTCGTCCCGGCCCTGAGTCTAGTGCTGGGGACAGGGCTTTCCAAGCTGCCATCCACGGCAAGTACCCTTATTCTTTCGACGTTGCTCTGCCTGATGCTGCCTCCACTTCCAGATTGCAGCCCGCTGTTCCATGCGTCCCAGCATCTCAAATTCTGCTATACTACCAGAACGTCGGTGGCATGAACAGCTCACTCGCCGAATACCAGCTAGCATGCAGCGACGCATGCTCCGACATATACGCCTTCTCGGAAACCTGGCTAAATAACAACACTTTGTCAAAGCAATTGTTTAACGATACATATTCCGTCTACCGTCAAGATCGATCAACCCTCAACAGCAACAAGACCTCCGGTGGTGGAGTCCTTCTGGCCATTCGCTCCTGCTTCGTATCTCGCTACTGAAACCTCCTGAAGATTCGACGGTAACTGTGGGTTACAATTTCAACTCTAAGTGGTACAATCTATATCTGCGTGATATACGTTCCTCCCGACCGCGTTAACGACCACAGCCTGATTGAGAAGCATGCACTTTCGCTGGATTGGATTGTCTCTCAAATGGATGCCAGGGACAGCATCGTCATCTTGGGCGATTTCAACCTTGGCACTGTATCGTGGCTTAGCGATGCTCACGGCTTCTTCTTTCCTGACAATTCCCGTTCATCGTTCAGACCGGCTTCTCTCTCCTTGCTTGACGCGTATTCAACCGCAAGGCTTCAGCAAGTGAATGGCGTTCTGAATGCAAACAACCGTTTGCTCGATCTGTGCTTTGTCGGGGAGGATTTGGGACAAAGCTGCTCTGTTACCCATGCTCCGGCACCGCTCGTCAAAAACTGCAGACATCATTCACCTCTACTGTTGACGCTTGCAATCGATCCTGAGAAACGCTTCCAAGACCACGCCGAAACCGTCTTCTACAACTTTCACAAAGGAGACTTCGAGCGAATGAATAACTTTCTCGCTAATGTGGATTGGAATGCGACACTAGACTCCGGGGATGCGAATCTGGCTGCCTCGACCATGTGTGGTATCATATTCTACGCTATCGATCAGTTTGTGCCTAAAAAAACTACGGTGTAAACCTGCCAAACCCGCCTGGTCGAACTCTGATCTTAAGCATCTGAAAAAGGTGAAAAGGGCTGCACTGAGGAAACACAGTAAATATCACACAGATTCTACGAAGGCTAATTACGTCCGCGCCAACAACGAGTACAGAGATCTCAATGCAAGCTTGTACAACGCACATCAGTCTCACTTGCAGAGTCGTCTCAAAGCTAACCCTAAGGAATTCTGGCGATATGTGAACGAGCAACGGAAAGAAACGGGATTGCCGTCCATTATGACTGATGGCGTTACTGATGCCAACTCCGTCGCAGATATCGCCAATATGTTTCGCACACAATTCAGCAGCGTTTTTTCAGACGAAGTTCTTGATGCTCAGGAAATTGCTGCTGCCACGAGTAATGTCCCTCGTACGTCGGTGTTTGGTTCTCCATTCACCATCCACAGCGACATGGTGATTTCAGCCGGGAAACAGATGAAAACATCAACAGGATCTGGTCCAGATGGCATTCCCTCATTAGTACTGAAACGTTGCTTAGACACTCTTTCAGAGCCCTTAGCTAAGGTCTTCAACTTGTCAATGACCTCCGGAGTTTTTCCAGAATGTTGGAAGGATTCGTTTGTTTTCCCTGTTCACAAAAAAAGGATGCAAGCAGACTGTCGCCAATTACCGCGGAATAGCTGCATT